ATTACTGCTTGTTTATACAGGTTATGTTGGTTCTATTACAAACCATTACTGCTTGTTTATACAGGTTATGTTGGTTCTACTACAAACCATTACTGCTTGTTTATACAGGTTATGTTTGTTCTACTACAAACCATTACTGATTGTTTATACAGGTTATGTTGGTTCTCACTATAAAAGTTTCTTTAATTGTTCTTTCGTTATGTTGGTTCTCACTATAAAATATTCTTTAATTGTTCTTTCGTTATTTTCTCGAGTGAGTTCATGTAAGACTAGATTCAGGTTCTCTAGTTCGTGTGTTGTTTGTGTTTAAAATATTTGAGAGGATGGGTTTTTATGTTCAGTTAAATAGTACAACAAACTGAATGACTTATGTTATAGGTAAAGATTTTCAAACAATGATGATATAAAAATAAAAATAATAACTTTGCAGGCTTCTATACACTGGGAGACAGAGCCTTAAGGGGTAATCACATGATTTACGTATTTATTGGTGAGAATATGCATAAACTTCAGTAGATTTATTTTGTTAAAAACAAACTCTCTTGAGATTCTTTTTCCCCTACATTATTCTCTTAAGTAAAGTTTTTACAAGATTAGCTTTGAATGTTGATAGATTGAAACTATCAAAAACATACTTGTTGGAAGATGTAATTACTTGATGCTTCATTCAGATAAAACCAAACTAGTAGGCTTAACGTTAGTGCTTATACACAGAAATCATGATCAGGTAGTTTCCCTTTTTCCTGAACTCAATTGTAAATATAAAGCGTTTATGATCACTCTTTAAGTAGCTAAGAAAAGTATTAGTTCTGGACTCTATAAACAATAATTTCTTTTAAGTACGCTAAGGACCTTTAAAAATAAAAAAAAATTAAATTAAATTAAATTAGCCCCCGCCCAATAAGTTTTGATAAGGTAATGTAAGAACTCTATTACTATATTGTTTCTGCAACTCGAAAAACCGTTGATAACATGCACATTTTCATCCATGTAAATAATCCCATATAATTATTATTACAGAAAGTCAGTAAATAAAATGTTCAATAAAACAGATATTTCTGTTAATCATGTATAATAATAATGATAATATCTTCTACAATTTACTTCTTTCGAGGTAACAAAAAACTGTATTAACAAACATCTGTAGTTACAAATGAAACACAGATGGCATACATCTGTAGTTACATATGCAACACAGCTGGAATTACACTCAAGTTTTCAGACTTTTTTGTCATTTTTAAGGATATGCTTGTCTACTTTGTATAGCACTTAACCTGGATGTTATTTAGGTTTACCTAAATTATGTAAACTATAATTATAAACTTACAACGAAATAATAAGAATGACTAACAATGCTTTCATTTGTTATTTACTATAAAAATATTGGTATATTTAATTCTGTCAAACACGGAACTTGATGGAAGGGCTGTCAATACAACTTAGTAGTATTAAAGAACCTTTAACATTGTATAGATGGGTTGGCCTCTAAACGTTTCTACCAGGTAATTAGCGGTAACCTATCAACCACGTCTGACCCCAGATAAGCCAGGCAATTGACCTGTGGAAATACTCCTAGCTGGCCGATGTGAGGTCCACACCTGCCACGTATTAACAAGCCTTATGACCTGGGGATTACTTTAGTCAATGTCAGTCTTACTGAGCTCTGCAGTTATGAGTGCTTGCTGAATACAGGAACAGTGGTTTATAATAATATATATAGCGTACAATATTGTACCAATATTTCAGCTGGTGATGATTCCAGTTTCCAATGCTGCTACAACATTGTGTAAACAGCTACATCATTTCTTCGTTAACAGACATGGATACTAAGGTTAACAAATATTTGTTACATATTTTGTTCTTTGAAAATAATATATAAACATAAATTGTATCCCATTATTTTTTCACTGCTTGTACATAGCAATAATAAAACACTGTAATAATTGTTTGTAATTATGCACAAAGCTACACAATGGGCTATCTGTGTTCTGCCCACCACGGGTATCGTAACCCGGTTTCTAGTGTTGTAAATCCGCAGACATACCGCTATGCCACTGGGGGGCACTGTAATAATAAAAGATTAAAGAAGCTAGCTACACGATTACATTACGTTTGTGTTTTTCATTGATTACTTCAAAATAAAGCTTAAAATTATATTACAATTACACTGCGTTTAAAAAAAAATTCAATTTTCTATAAAAGCTAAATAATATCAATTGAATACGATTTAGAGAAATACTCCAATTTATTTTTAAAATTAAATATATACAAATGACTTTATGTTTAATTGTTAGGTTTATGTATATAAACAAAGTTGTTTCAAACATAAGTTACTTGATTTTATGCTGAATTTCCAACAATTTCATTTTTTTTTTAAACGTAGTGTATATCATGACCCATAGAAGCTCAGGTCCATCAAAATTTTACTTTTCGTGCTTTTTTTCTGGCAGATGTTCGAACAAGTTGTTTCAAGTCCAATTTCTCAGCCATTTCATGTTCTATTGACAGAGTTGAAAGCCCAACAAGTCTTTCTTGCGTCATGGTTGAGCGTAAATACGTTTTTATTAGTTTTAGTTTGGAAAAACTTTTCCAACCACTGGCCACAGATACAGGGAGTGTCAAGAGAATACGTAAAGCAATAAGTACATTTGGAACACTGTCGGTCAGAATATCTTGTGGGGGAGACACTACAATAACTACATTTGGAACACTGTCTGTCAGAATATCTTGTGGGGGAGACACTACAATAACTACATTTGGAACACTGTCTGTCAGAATATCTTGTGGGGAAGACACTACAATAACTACATTTGGAACACTGTCTGTCAGAATATCTTGTGGGGAGACACTACAATAACTACATTTGGAACACTGTCTGTCAGAATGTCTCGTGGGGATGCACTACAATAACTACATTTGGAACACTATCTGTCAGAATGTCTTGTGGGGATGCACTACAATAACTGCATTTGGAGCACTCTCTGTCAGAATGTCTCGTGGGGATGCACTACAATAACTACATTTGGAACACTATCTGTCAGAACGTCTTGTGGGGATGCACTACAATAACTACATTTGGAACACTATCTGTCAGAATGTCTTGTGGGGATGCACTACAATAACTACATTTGGAACCCTATTTGTCAGAATGTCTTGTGGGGAGGCACTCTTCTCCACCCGTCTTGCAATGACTTGTAATTCTCTACACATATCTGCAGCATCAATTTATCGATTATCACCATGTTGTAAAGCTTTTTCTAGTGTTAAAAAATGATCCATTATTTCTTTCGTTGTCATTCTGCATCTTGTGGACAAAATAAAAATTCACCTTCAGCTTTTGCTTGGGATTCTGAATTGGTTCATCATCTCCCTCGTATGTGATCTGTTTCTTCCTTCTCCTAATATGGACTAGCTCTGATTCAAATTCTGCTGATATGTCCAACTCCTCCTCAAGTTCCTTTACATTTACTATCGCTTTTACATATTCTTCGTCATTCCTGCAGTTTACAAGACATTTTTTGTTTCTTTCAGTTATTCAACTGCATCATGTATATCAAATTCCTTCTCATGAATTTTGTTGCTTGATATATTTATCTCAAACAGAATATCATACCAAACAACGAGGAAAACGTTGAACTTGAAATGTCCGCGTGCCTCAACCCGTGAAGAATTGCCAGAGATTTCAATTAAGGCATCAAATATACTGCCAAGCTGATAGCGAAGAGCTTTCAAAGAACTAATATGGTTTTCCCATCTTGTATCACTTAATGGTTTCACTGTCAGATTTGGGACATGTCGTTTCAGAACCTCCCAGCGGCGTGTCGAAGCTGAAAAGTACACATAAGCATGTTGTTACAGATTAAATAATGCTGTTGCCTCCGGGCAACTTTTGACAGCATCATTAACAACCAACTTTAAAGAACGTGCACTGCAGGGTACGAAGAGTGCTCGTGGATTAATGTCCAGTATTCTCCCTTTTACACCATTTTCTTTTTCTTTCATGTTGCTTCCATTATGACATTCTTGACCACGCATGTTTTCGACTAGTACTGGCATTATCATATACTTGACCACACATGTTTTCGACCAGTAATGGCATCCCCTGTAACTGATGAAGAATGGTGAAGAATGCCAAATCCTACAAAATGTTCTTTGACGCGAGGCTCTAGGTTGCAATCATCAGCGTCTGAAGGTATGTCTACAAACCGATGTATATTGGTCATTTGTTCAACATGGATTACATCTGGTGTACAATCTCAAATTATGTAATAGCACTTTGCGGCATGCGCAGATGTTATTATTTCTTTTTTGATCGCAATGGCTAAGAGCTGAACCAGTTCGTTTTGTATCTCTTTCCATAGGTAGTGTACACATGTCTCGCTGTCTTGTATATTACGTAGATATTCCTTCATAAGTGGGTCAAACAAAACAAGATATTCTACAAGCTTTAAAAAGTTCCATTGCTTGAGGTGTACAGTTTGTCATGTGATCCTCTAAAAGGCAGATTTTGCATAGCAAGAACTCTCACTAAACCAATCAGCCGTTCTAATATTTGTTGCCAATATTTTTCTTGCTGTTTGATGTGGTACATATTTGTTTCGTCAATTGTTTTCTTGCTGTTCAGTCTTAGTTCAAGCTCTCTCCAGTTCTGAAAATTATTCAAATATTCCTTACTTCAACGTTAGAACTACAGATATGTTTTACAGTCTCTGCAACCTTCACCAGCAAGAGATGAACCATTTTGGTTTACAGTAAACAGCTTACAACAAAAGTAAAATACCGAGTCCTTTGACTTGGAATAATGTAGCCATTTCCTCCAGCCATTACCCTCTTTACACCAGCTGTTTGTTTGTCTGTTATTAAATATGCACAAAGCTACACAAGGGCTATCTGTGCTCTACCCACCACGGGTATCGAAACCCGGATTCTAGCATTGTAAGTCCGTAGACATACCGCTGTGCCACTGGAGGGCATACACCAGCTGAAAAACACAGTCGTAAAATTATAATCAACTTGCGAACAAGAAATTTACAGTTTTATGATCATCCATATCACCGAGTAAATCTGTTATCTGGCAAAATTCTAAAAGTTTCACTTTAGTTATTTGCAAACGTATAAAATTAACATATGCCTCAAAAGGTATATTCTTTTTTTCATGTGAAAACTTGGCTTAATACTTGACTAATCCTTGATTAAAAGCTTGACAACACAGTGTTATAATAAACGTATTCAGTAGACTACTAAACTTGACCAGTGGGGGGAACAACTGCTGAGAACCCGGCACCGCTCCCTCTCTCATTATTTTATAATACGAATACCTAATCTACTAGGAGCCCAATGAGCCCTTAAAAGTCCACTATAGGCACGTAATATACGTATGCATATACACATACGACTGTGGTCGTCCTTGGTGGTATCTGCTGTGGACTCTACATATTTAATGAATCTGGTTTATATTATGATAAAATCTGACGAGAAGCACTAAGATTGTAAAAGAAAAAAACTCGTTATAAACACGTTTCTGTCCCATACATAATTAATCCTTAACCCGCTTTTATTTCAACGAATATATAAAAAAAGAAACCGTAAGTCAAGCATTATAGAATATGCATATTATAATACAAGAAAAATCAGATAATTACATTACAGAAATAAAACAATTTCAATTTACAGTTCGGCAAGCTGACGAACCGAGTTCTTGAAACTTGTTACTATCACTAAAATCCATTTGATTTTGACCACTCTAAGAAGATGACAGCCTGCATTTTCCACTCCACACCACCCACGTCAAATCATGTGACAGGTCATAACACCACACGACCATTCCAGGGAGAGGGTGGAAGTTACACCCCCCCCACCCCAAAGCGTCGCTGCTTATTGTGAGAACGAAATTTTCTCATTCTTTTAATAAAACAATTCCAACAAAGTTTTTTTTTTCTTTTCAACATTGCTATCATCAGTCTTACCCAGTGCTCCTTTTATTACTAAGTTTTCGTGTTTTTAGTTGGATTAAGTAATTTTCTCTAAGTTGTTTTGAATTTGTGTGGCGCCCCCAGATTTTGGCGTCATGGGGCGATCGCCTAGTTTGCCTAGTGGGTATCGCCGGCCCTTTTTGTCCAAGGGCTATACCGATCGTTGATGGCGCCCTGTGCGAGATGTAAATTCTGCGTCCCTCCTCATAAAAATCTAATTTACCCTAGTCTTAAAAGGCTTCGAGGCCCCTAAGGGTCGGCGTTCTGTGCACACACACACTGCTCGCATTATCCTAGGTTCTTCCCTAGTTTAGGACCTTAAAAACAATAAAAACTCATTAGTACGTTTGGGATCTCAAAAACAATCATAATAATCAAAAGAAAATTATTAGTACGTTCAGAACCTAAAAAACAAGAAACAAAGATAGACCAGGTTCTGAAATGAAGGTTAAAGTTTTTGAACTTTTCTTTCAGCCAGTTTCGACTGTCTTTAAGAACATATTGGGAACTAATATAGAACTTGTAGCAACACAGTAACAACACAGTGGGAAGTAATATAGAACTTGTAGCAACACAGTAACAACACATTGGGAACTAATGTAGAACTTGTAGCAACACAGTAACAACATATTGGGAAGTAATGTAGAACATGTAGCAACACCATAACAACACATTGGGAACTAAATGTAAAACTTGTAGCAACACAGTAATAACTACGAAAAAAATAATGCATCAACACTATCAATTCCCTTTGCAATATTAAACACCTCAATCAGATCTCCTCCAACTCATTTTTTTTCGAGAGAAAACAATTTCAGAGATCTTAACCTCTCCTTATATGACAACCCCTCTATCCCAGGCACCATTCTAGTATCCCTTGTCTGAACTCTTTCCAAGAATTCAATGTATTTCCTAAGGTAAGGAGCCCAAGACTGAACACAGTACTCCAAATGTGGCTTAACCAATGACTTATACAATGAAATTATAACCTCTTTAGACTTATGTTCAATATTTCTGTAGATAGAACCTAAAATTCTATTTGCCCTACCACTAGCAAC